TTTTATCCCAATTCTGGATCAAATAATAATGTAGAAATATATATATTTCCAAGCTGCTGTTATATAAAGATATTTTTAAATTTGTCATTTTTGGCGCAGTTCTACATGTGCAATTATAGTTATTTAATCAATGCTGAATGTTTATGTTTTTTTTTTTATTTTCTTTTCTTTTCTACTTCATGATCTTGCAATATAAAATAAGAGAAAACCAAGTCATAATAGGGAAGTAAGTAGGACTAATTAAAACATAATGACAGGATTTGAGGGTAGTGGGGGATTTTGAGGGGGGGGGGAATAAGAGAAAATTGCCGGGAATATGTAATACCATTTAAAAACAGGCAGTTAACCATTTATATCAATAATTTGCTTTTCATCCCTGCAATTAATGATAATAAAGATAGCAATAAAAATAAATAATATTATGGGGGGAGGTCTGAGAAAAAAAGGAAGGGGAAGTTTTGGAAGAGTAGAGAGTTGGAGATTATTTTGAACAGTATATATGGGATTTTGAGAGGGAATTGAAAATGAGGGGGGTAATTTGAAAAGAAAAGTGGGGGAAATTTGAGAGGAAAAGTGGGAAAAATTTTAGAGGAAAAGTGGGGAAAATGTGACAGGAAAAGTGGAGAAAGAGAAGAATGTTTTGTATTCATCCGGAGAATAATTATTGGGAAAAATATACAATTGTGCAAAATGTGTGAGAATATAATAGCCTAAACTAAGCTAAACCAATCGTTCTTCCTAATATTTTCTGCTAAATCACGTCAAACTGAAGTAAATTTTTTCTGCTAGATCACGTCAAACTGAAGTAAATATTTTCTGCTAGATCACGTCAAACTGAAGTAAATATTTACTGCTATATCACGTCAAACTGAATACGTCAAACTGAAGTAAATATTTTCTGCTAGATCACGTCAAACTGAAGTAAAAATTTACTGCTAGATCACGTCAAACTGAAGTAAATATTTTCTGGTAGATCCCGTCAAACTGAAGTAGATATTTACTGCTAGATCACGTCAAACTGAAGTAAATAATTTCTGGTAGATCACGTTAAACTGAAGTAAATATTTACTGCTAGACCACGTCAAACTAAAGTTAATATTTTCTGCTGATTAAGTCAAACTGAAGTAAATATTTTCTGCTAAAAATCAAAGCTAGAGGAGTTGTAAAGTTGGACCAGAAGTATTGCATACATTAGACCTTCTCCTTCTGGGTAGTTTGCTGTGAGAAAACATTTTGCATAGTGTAGAGAAAACGTTAAGAGCTTGCAATTTTGAAATTGTTAAAATTCTTAAATTTTGTGACAGTCAAAAAAAGTTCAACTTTATATGTAGGAGAAAGATTTTGTGGGAAAATATGGGAGTGATCGGGGATAATATCAAGATGGAAGTTATATCTTTTCATCAAATGAGAAAATACCAAATATAAGACTGAGTTCTTTAGATTGCACTATTTAGATATTACAGGGTGTCTAAAAAACACAATCGATTACATAAAAAAATGTCATTTCTAAATAAAAAAAAATTGTTAATTGCTACAAAACTTTGAAGATTCAAGTATCAATATTGTATTTCCTTAGATTTTTGCAATTTTTTGAAAATTTCTTATATTTCATGTTTAATTTGAGACACCCTGTAATTGTAAATACCGAGGATGTCTATATAGATATACTAAGGTTTTGTATAAATATCCTATTCTTCAGAATGCCAAACAAAATTGGATAATTTATCTTAAACAAAAGTCAATATGCTTTCCTTGACAAGAATATTCTTTGGTTTTCTATCTACTAAACTATCTATGTTTCATATATAAATAAATATATATAAATATATATTCAAATAATATTGACTACTAAACTATATGTTTAGTTCTGTTTTGAATAAAAGGTTGAATTCAAAAACTGAAATAAATCTAGATATTCTGTAGTATGTACAATGTATCATATATCTGATAAGCTATCTATGTTTGTACATTTAATCATAGTGGAATTTATATCTACAATTTCTCTATCTATGTTTTTTATGTAATTGGTGGAATATATACTATGTATCTCTCTACTAAACTATCTATGTATATATATATAATTGATGGAATATATACTATGTACCTATCTACTAAACTATCTATGTTTTTATATATAATTGGTGGAATAATTCTATGATTATAAACCAGGTTTACTACTGCTCTACTATATACCCAATGTATGCGAATATTCTGCAAATTCTGTTTTATGTGCGAATTCTGCAGCTGCCTGCTGTACATACATTTACTGGGATACAGTTGTACACTTCACTCAAAGTATAATATAAAGAGACATTCATGTGCTTTCCAGTACTTATGTTGCTACTTTTACCGCTAAGGAATGAGTCTTTGCCACAAACTCAAATTTTCTAATCCATATATCTTGTAAACCTGATATTGCTACCCTTTAATATTTCAAACTTAAATGATTTAATTTAACAGAATTCATAGTTTGAAATATCAAGGTCTTTGACATTGAGTTGGACAGATATAAGGAATATAAAATAAGAGTTGGCGACAAAGACAAAATTCCTTTGGATGTAATTTTCATTTTCAAACTAAAGTCAATTTACGTGAGACTAAAATTTACTAGATTTCAATCATTTTTTTTGATATTCAAACGAATAAATTAGCATTTCTCATATTCATTACATCAAAATAAGATGAGCTACGATGTCACAATAGTAGTGCAACTAATTTCACATTATTCTGACCTTTTTTGATCTATTGCAGTGAAGCAATCATTTATTTCAGTATTTAATTTCAATTTTTAGTACTATTTTGCGAATAGCTTCATTTTCATCAAGTTACAGACAAAGCTAAAGAACTATAAATATCAGAGCTACTGTTATTATAAATTTTACATATTTCATGAAAATGTATTTAACGTCATTTATAAAAATAATTAGGTTGACATAATTAAGAATTTTCAGAAATAAGAAAAGTTTGTTGATTATTAATAATACCAAGAAGCATTTTATCTAGCCTCGTAATTTTTGTAGACCTTTTGAAGACCTTTTGTAGCAAAAATAGAATGTAAATACTTATACTTATCAAATAAATCCTGATATTTTAGTCTATAATACTGCAGTCTTAGTTCAACTAACCTTCCTAGCCAGTCACTCACTTTTCTCGGATTATTGAAAAATTGGTATGAATAAAATATTATAGTTTTATATTTTGCTGAACCCATGAACCCTAAAAATAGAAATATATCGAAATTATATTTTTCAAACTACTTCTGACTAGAACAAGAAATTAATATTTGTCTCATAATTTCAATTTGAAAAACAACCTTGCAAAATCTCAAGACGATACAATTACTATCATGGCATGGGGATAATCCATATCCCCATGCAGCTTTAACGCAAAAAATACTAGGGAGTAAGGAATAGAAGGGAGATATAACTGACGCGGTTCGCCCTACCGTATGATTATACATACTTTGCAGACGGGTACTCCATTTATATATGAAATATTCAGAATAGGTTATTGTATACGCAGTAAATGTACATCAGACAAATATTTCTTATGCAAATGAAGTGCAGTTATATCTCCCTTCTATTCCTTACTCCCTGCAAAATATGCCTGGTATTTTCTGCAAAAACAAACTTAGTCGTATACATTTTTTAATAATTCATCATTGTAAAATTTGTTTAGTTCCTTAAATCTCAATTTAGAGCTATAAACAATCCAATATGATCCGCTATTTACATAGATTAGGTTTGATACTATACCGGATATATACCTCGTTAAAATTATGGAGATTTTTTTCAGATCTAAAACTTTTGAACATTTTTCATTGACAGTTTGAAGATAATGTATAAAAGTTTAAAGGTAACGATGAGAGTATTTACGCGGAGCAAAGATTAAAATATTGAAAGCATGAGAATATATTTCAAGAATATTTCAAGGCATGTTAAAACATTTTTCTAAAATATGTGTGAATATAAATATGTTTGAATAAAATAAATATTTTGAGACAAAAATTACTTAGTCAGCTTCAATTCCCCTTCTCCTTGAATTATTCCCCCCCCC